TTTAAGTTTTCCCCATTTCCCTCACAGCCTTTCACTCGACCTGAGAGCCAATTTATGCCCCACTTAGAGCGATATCCCACATTCATTCCACTTTCACATTCCCATACGCACAAGCACTTTGATAAGGTCGCTGCTCCTGTCATTGTTCTGGGGGGATCCTTTGGAGGCGCTGTCGCGTTTATGTGATTCAATTTGGTTCGATTAGGAATGCCAATTGGCGGGGGAGGAGGGGGAGAAGGACGAAGAGTGGCAGGAAGTGACGTGGGGCGGGACAAATGTGCCTTGTCATTGCTGACAGATTTATAGAAAGTCAAGGAGGCGGCGGCAGTGTCTGAAATTAAAATGGCTTTTGCTCATCAAGTTCCGTTACGGCGTGATAAGCAAAGGCCAAGAGCTATTGGATGAACCTCCCGATGTGACAGCTGTTCGGGGCGTATGTCCTCCTCATGAGTGTGTGTGTGTGTGTTTGGGATACTCGCATTTGGATATGTTTTGTATTAGGATAAGGAATTCCAGCTAACAGGCAACAGCCAAACTGTTTGATATCCGGTGGCGACGCCGGTTCCAACTTCGTCGTCGTCCAGACGACAACATGTGCCTGCCGGGACTGACTCCTTTATCCTTCCTCCGTTCTTGGTTCTCCCATCCTTTCAACCCCATACGCCACCTCCAAGCTGTCACGTCCCCGTCTGATGTGAAACTGTCAACTTTATTGCTCATACACAGCTCGAAATACTAGAATTATGAAGGATTACCAGTAACAAAGCTAAAAAATTTATATTTAAAGCTATTCAAAATTTAAATTAGATACTTAAAAACACCTAAAAATCTAATAACTATATTTTCGGTATTCTTATTATTATTTTAATTATTTTAAATATTTCTTGCAGTGTTCTTAACCGTCTAGTCTGTCAATCTTCGTCACCACGTAGCCCAAAACTTCCGGCCAGCACATATTTTGACTCCGGCATATGGTTATTTCGGATTCGCCCGCTGGCATCCTTCCCCCGGTCCGGGAAACCTCCTCCATTATGTGCATTGCATTGCACGTGCCTCGGAAAATGGAAAATTGGCGGGTTGAAGGAGGGCTTGGGACGGGCAACAGGCAGGCCGTTAAGCGTTCCAGCGAACAATTGAAAAATTAACAGTATTTATTTATGATGAACAACAAAAAAGAAAAGAAAAGACGGCACTGGTATGGGGGAGTGGAAAAAAAGAGAGTTGAAGCTCTCGCTTGAAATTCACCCTTGGCACCTCTGCTTTTGCATTTTCCACCCACTCACCGCCCCACTTCGAGTGCGTGCTCGGCATGGAAAACTGGTGAATGCCAAGGGCCAGAAAACGAAAACGGTCAGTTGCAACAATTTTTTAATTGGCGCGGAAATTGCTGATGGAATTGACGCTATGAAAGGCAATTTCGGGCAACGAGCTGCAAGGCCGTTGGCCAATTTGTTGCCAAATGCAAACGAGGAGGAGTTGGGAAAGAGACAGGCAGCAAAAGAGGAAGAGAGAATGGAAGAATGAAAAAGGTAGAGCAAAAAAGATATACCATAAGTTTTAGTAAAGGTAATGTAACCGAAGTTAAGATACCTCGTCATAAGAAGTTGTTTTTAGAAACAAAAAAGAAAATAAGGAATTCAAATTTTACAAATATTTGCTAGTAAAAACATATAACTTTAAATTTTTAGCACCAAGAAATAAATCGAAATGAAAAATTGAATGAAACGTTGAGAAGCTGCATGTATCTTTATTAAATGCAAAAGTATTTATGAATTTAAATTGCGAAAATACCTTTCAACATTCACTGGCTCTTGGGGAAACCAGCAAAAAATCCCAAATTAAACGTGGTTAACTTTGTCTGAAATAAAATAGGAAATTGATACGTTAACAAAAAATCAAATATACAAGAAGCTAACTCCGCCCGAGTCATAAATTTAAAAGGTAAATGGAAATCAATGCAAAATTATAGCACATTTGAGCCATAAATAAGGTGGAAATAAGGGCGAACCCGATCGAATTGGGAATGGGAAAATCGGGCTGGTCATTTATTTAATTTTTCGCACGATTTCAGCATTTGCCGTTTGCTGGCAGGAAAAGGCCGAGGAAAGGATAGGGAGAAAGGGAGGCCAACAAAGAAAGTCAGGAAGAGATAGAAACATCAGTTAAATGACCACAAAAGGGGGTGGGTTAAAGGGAGGGGGTGGAATGTATGTGTGTGTGTCCAAGTGTGAGAGGTAGGAGGGGTGGAAAATGGAAAAGTGGTAGCCTGTGAAGTGCCGGGCAAATAAAATAGGGTGCGGGGAATAATAACAAGAAAAGGGCCTCACAGGGGACGACAGGCGAATGCAAATACGAGAAAAACCAAGTGAGCGTCGAGGAATTTCCCGGCCAGAGGTGAAAGCACTTCGTGCAAATGAAATTACCCACAAACCCAGAGACAGTCACACATGTACCTGAGTGCAGGCCACGTGAAATATATGCAAATTCCTTAAATTCAAACTGAAACGAGCAAAGTCTCGAATTTCAAAGAAAATATGGAAAAACAAGAACTTATTCCCTTACCCCGCAGAAACAACAAAGTGCAAGTACTGAGGGGAATAAGAGGCCGAAATTTGGGGTGAGTTAACAGCGAAAGAGATGGCAACAGTAACATTACAGTCCACAGTCCTGCGACAGGGGAAATAATTGCAAAACAAACAAAGAGGAAAGCGCGCTCAAACCGAAAAATCATAAAAACTGTCGCTGCTTAGTGGCTCACTCTGCACTGCCATTTGTCCATCATCTAAGGGCAGCAGCAAAGCAGAGAAAAGCAGCGGAAAAGCAGAGAAAATCCGGAAAAGCAGCACATCAGCAGAGCAGCAGCAGCGCAGCTGGCGTCTCAGCAGCAAACAGAAGAACTTCTTGTAGAAAAATCAGCAAGGAAAAGCCGGTCCACACGATGGCTTTTGTTAGATTACCAAAAGAGCAGGGAATATAGAATTGAAAATGGAATTAATATTAGTACAGGAATGGGAAATGTAAAATTATCCATATGAAATGACTTGGAATCACTTAGACTTCATTATCCTGTGGGCACCCTGTACGACCATTCAGCGCTTTGACTAATTTGGCGCCTTCTCTGCGCACTTTTTGTCCTGTTTAGGAATATTCTGTCGGGTAAAGAGCCACCGTTATGATTACAATGACCCCCATGATCCCGACCAGCATCCGCGTGTCATTCCAGTCTCAGTCCCAGTCCCAGCCCCGTTCACATGTCCTATTTGTCCCCCTTGTCCTTTGAACAGTGGCACGTTGTTGGCAAATGCTTAGCGGTAAATTTAGTCCTGCACAGAGGAGCGAGTATGAGTTTGAGATTGGGCCAGAACCTGGCAAGAGGTAGAAGAGAAGGGGATACTCAACCAACCAGTTAGCAGACCGGCTCCTGGCAGTGGTTGCTATCTGTGTCTGAGGACGCACAGGGCTCCTCTATCCCCTTCTCCATCAGAGAAAGGCCCGCAGTTTAAAGTTCCATTCCTGTGCCCGATCCCTTGCCCAATCCGAGTGCCTGATATGCCGACGTTTTCACTGGGCCTTGTTGACGGCACATTCAAATATCCACAACAGATGCGATGACAGGTCCTGGGCCCCCTTCGACCCACCTTCCTTTGGTCGTGGGACAATGCGGCGTATGATTATTCGAGTGCTAATGTGAGGGAGGTTGTCGCTTTTCGGCTGGTCTGTGGTCTCGGTTAGTTCCATGTGAACTCTATTCTTTAAAGTACCTTTTACCGGACAGATGTCTTTTTCGTCGTCCGATGCTGGTCAACGGAAGTCGCCCAATTGAGTGAGCTGCAATCAGGAATCGGAACCCGCTTCGTATTGGAGGTCATCAGCTGTCGGGGGAGGCGGCATCAAAACAGGAATGGGGATAGAAATTGAGGGCGGATTTGGAAGCTTCGATATTGCCGTCGCAATAAGCGATGGCCGGAACAAATGTCGCTGACTGACTCCAACCGGGGAATGGGAATCCCCGCCTTCCGATTGGCCTAAAAGTGTTGACAATGCCATTTCTCAATGGACCCGCCGCCGGAGGCAGCTGTTCCGAGCTGTTCCGAGTGTGCTCCTCTCGAATGGCTCTGCTCATTTTTCAGAGGGCCAAAGGACCAGTTTTGATTAATGGTCAGCCGGTTTGAGCCGGCGGCGACTTTTTTATTTGGCAATTATGTTGTTTAGACCCCGCAACAGATTTCGCACCTCGAACATTTTTCATGCACCGAACACGGGATACGCCCAGTGCTGGACTTTGATTCCGTGTTCCGGGGCTTGTCACTGGCATGCGCCGTCATTAATTCTCTTATCCCCCCCAGCCTCTCAGCCCCTGGATACTCACCATTGTCTGTTCGGAACCCCTGTTTCAGCCGCTTTCATTTTTCAAACGGTTTTTGGCTTTTCCGACACTTGACAAGTGTTTTCGACTTGCGGCAGAAGGTGTCACAAGCGATGGACAGATTTGAGGTTAGCTGGGACGAACGGGAGATCTGCTGGAGGTAACTGGAATCTGGGGGAATTAGGGGGAATCTGGGGGTATCTTCCGTTGGGCGGAACTTTATGGAAATGAGCGCTTAAAGGTTAAGCGAAATTCAAGAGCGACTGTGATGGTGACTTGGTTATATGCTTACTTTGCTAGATTTGGCAATACAAACTTCATTTATGCAGGCCATATAACAAATTCTTTGCCTTCTAGTAATCTTATATCCAAAATAATAACAGATAACCATATGTATTTCCTTTTAGTCACCCCTAAACTGTGTTTTATCTGAAATACTCTTATCTGGTTTATCCATAAAACCTTTAAAAAGACATTAACAAAAACCATTGACCCTTCAATAAAAGAGCAAGCCACAGGACACGAATTTCCACTCCCAACTGACAATCGGATAAAACCTTGACACGTGGCACAGTCCCCGATTTCCAACCCCCCCGAATGCCATGGTAATTAGCACATCGAATGTCGAATTAAATGAAGCGAAAAACTCGATTGTCTATGGCTGGCATGGGCAACGAATATATAATTTGGAAAGCACGTGAATAGGGGTATCAAATCGGATCATTTAGACGGTATGCTTGGACTGCCACTGGATGCCCTCGTGGGGCAGCGGACTCTCCATTGTCGGCGAGAGCATGGTCCAGAATCCTCGGTTACCCAAGACCTGGGCAAAGTTGCGTCCTATTCCGAGATCGTACTTGCGATCCGATGAGTCTGCGGAGACGGCATTGCTTCGAACCAATAGAATTTGGTAGATAAAAATTAACATCGGAAGGATAAGGCAAACTAAGTTAACGTAAAAGATGGTTCTCACTAGGTAGGAATACAAAAGGTCCGATCTAGACGGACGGAGAGCATCCTCGACAAGAAGAATCGGCAACCAAAAGTCATTTCTGAAGCCATGCCTTAAGGCCATAGTGAAATTGTAGAACTGCAGCAGACCGGCTCCAAAGGTCAGGTGAAAGTTCAACCAAATGTAGTAACGCTGATTATTGTGCCCAATACAGTTGGCCGTGAAGCTGCAGTGGTGATCCCGTTTCAAAATGCAGCAATTGCAGATTTTACAGTGCCAGACTCTGGGCGGCATTAGCCTGTCGCATTCATTGCAATAACGCCACAGGTGCTCCTCACCCCTTACAGGCTGCATTTGATCATAACGCAAAGTGTTCACCGAGCTGGTAGTCCTGTAGCAGGCCCAAAGATTTCCAAAAATATTATAAAGAATCCAAGTGCAGATCAGAAAGTTGAGTGTCTGTCCTAGGAAACCAAATAGCTGCGGCACCACATAGAAAACATCATAAACGTAGTAGAAACATGTCAGGGCGATGAGCATGAATATGCAGAGGGGTTCCAGCCAACAGTAGGGATTCTTGAGATGGCGTTTAGGCAAGCTGACAGTCTGGGTCCCCTTGGAGGTCATGGTCCGAAGTCTTATAGATGAATACATAAGAGGGAGATTATTGACTCAGAGTTGGGTGTATCTGTTAGGGTTGTGAGAAAAATTGATTAAAATTTCAAAGGAAATAAGTTACATTTGCCACTAACCTTTTGTTGAATTGAGGAAAATATCAAAGCAAAATTAAATAGCAACCAGAATTTGTTATATTAAAAATGAAGCCCTCATTCTTTGTCCTTTGTTTTCCACTGGGCGCCATCGTGGGGTAAAGGACTCTTAATGGCAGGCGAGAGACAAGTCCAGAACTGGAGTTTTCCCAGCACCTGACTAAAGTTCCTCCACCATCCCATATCATATTCCCGATTTGATGTATCGAACATCACAGTATTACGTCGGACCATCGAAACTGCGCTAAAGAACATGACAAATGGAAAAATGACGCACACTATGTTCCCGTAGACGACCATAGATATGGCCCCTCTAAATGCAAGGTCCGGTTCAGGGCCATTTTGCAAGGCAGCCATCGAAAACAGCTCGTTGACTAAAACAAAGCCATGTCGCCAGACAAATATAAAATTATAAACCAAGGCCAGGCTGCTGCCGAGGCCCATGTAAAAGGTCAACCAGATGAAGTATCGTTGATTATTGTGTCCAATACAATTGCCCGTGAAGTTGCAGTGGTGATCTCGCTTCAAAATGCAGCAATTGCAGATTTTGCAGTGCCACGACCTTGGCGGCATTAGTCTCTGGCATTCCTTGCAATAGCGCCACAGGTGTTCTTCACCCTCGGCAGGTTTGAGAAGCTCCAGGGGCAAAGAGTCCACTGAACTGGTTTTACGGTAACAGGCCCACATGTTACCTAGGATGTTGTAGGAAATCCATGTGCATACAATAGCGTTAAGCGTGAATCCTATGGGACCCAGTAGCTGTGGTGTTACGTAGAACACGACGTCAACGTAAAAGAATGGGGTGAGTACGATAATTATCATTATGTAGAGGATCTGCGAGCAGGCCATTGTAGGTTTGGAAGCCTTGATCGGGGGTTTGTTGATAGGTTCCTGTGGGTTTAAATAATCCAAGACAGGCTCTTGAGACTTCTGGTTATCCACGTCTTTTACTGGCTTTTGAGGCTTTGAGTTATCCTTGTCTTGTAAAGGTGGTTCCGGTGGCATCGTGTTATGCCTTAAAAATAAACTACACACACACAATTAGTCTTAAACGAATGAAAATATAATTTTATGTAATATTCCTGACAAGAATTTTCTATATTAGAAATGGCCGTACGTTCTGACAATAATTTCAAACCGATTGCAGTAAAAAATACCATATATAATTGATACAAATTATATTATATTAATCGAAACATTTTTATGCATTTTTATTAAGTCTTCTCCAAGGACAACAAAACCGTTCATAATTTTATTAACCAAAGTCTAAACGTGCTGCTTGACAAACCACTTGGTGCCGTCGTTGGTCAAAGGACTTATGATCGTGGGCGACAAGAGCGTCCAGAAAAGTTGCTTTCCCAGGACACCTTCAAAGTTCCGCCGCCAGCCAAGATCATAGCTGCGATCAAGAATCTTATAGCACGTACTGTTCCGATGCACCATTAATATTTGCACGCAAAACATAAAGAGAGCGATTACAAACAGGAACATGTTCAACTTGAAAATTATAGAGATCGTGTACTTCCAGTCCAGATCCACATCCTTACTATAATCTGACATTTTGAAAAACAGCATTATGGGATCGGCTGTCATTATGGACCCTGTTTTCCAAGCGTAAATTCCATTGAAGACCAGAGCCGAACCGCATCCTAAGGTCAAATGGAAGAGAAAGCAGATGAAGTAGCGCTGGTTCTTGTGCCCGATGCAGCTACCCGAGATGGTGCAGTGATGATCCCGCTTCAGCATACATCCCTGACAGAGTCGGCAGTGCCAGGACCTGGGCGGCACCAACCTATCGCAGGCGATGCAGTAGTGCCACAGGTGAGCCTCACCTTCGGCAGGTGTCTGTTGCTCCGCGGGCAAGCTATTCACGGTGGTGTCAGTTTTAAAGCTTAGCCACCAATTCCCAAGGATATTGAAGATGACGAAGCCGGCAAACAGGCATCCAAGCCAGTACAAGCACCCGCTAGAACCGAGTATCTCCGGCCCCACATACATTACTTCGTAGACCAACGTGAACCCAATGACTCCAAGAAGGACGATGGCCGATATCGGATGAATTACGTTTACGATTTTCAAGCGATGTCGTCGCGTGCAGCGAAGGAACGAGTCCTCGCTCTGGACACACATCCTGCGAGTCCAGCAGAGCACAATTATGAATAGTCTTCGAAGTCCAATCATTTACATATGTGTTTTTGCTAAAACTCAATATAGAAAACATGTAATTTTTGTCAAACTGAATTCGAGATACGACTTTGAATGCTCGAACTGCGCCGATTTGGAAATATATATATCTAACTGGCATAATCGCATCAGTCAGTGAGTTGGAAAATCTGGCATTCGGTCCTCTGCTCGGAGTTCCAAATTGAATTTCTTTTCGCTTTTAAGCGGATTAACGTAAAATTACTTTTATAATTGGCGAGGGTGGAGCCTGTTGAAGCTTAAGAGACGAATTACAAAAGACATATGGGTAGGGGAAATGGGGCAACAAATGTTTTATTTTATATTTTTAAAACTTTGCAGGGTATTCCCAAAAATATATATTATATAATAATATAGATTTAATTCTCCCTATTAATATATTTCAACAAAAAATAATACTTTCTTGTTCCGACTCATGTTACATGGCCTTAAAAACCCCACTTGGCTCGACCCTGTTTAAAAATGTAAGCATACACATGTAGAAAATAAATTCTCTACTGAAAACAATGAAGTGAACGAGCAGCATCAACATAGTCATATTTCCCTGGCTTTTGCAGCAGCTGTATATTATGTAAACAAAGAGCGGAATAAAAACAACGGCGAATGCATATCAAATACACAAAACAGCTGGCGGAGTCGACTTCATTTACCCCAACGACCGACCACAAAATGGCAGCTGTCAGCCAGGTTTTTAGACCGCAAGACCGACGACCGACCGACCGACTAACAGAAGCGCGGCAAATGTTGTCTATTTCACATAAATTTTTATGAATTATTAATATGAACTAGAGCATTTTGGATGTGGCCAGGCGGCTGATGGCGATGGCAGTGGAAAGGTGGAAAGGTTTTTGTAGAACTCGCGGTTTTCCATTTTAAGTTTGCGGTGAGCATCAGCTATAGAGAGTGGGTTTCCTTTTCGGGGAAAACGAGAGTAGTCGAGTGCTGGGTGCCCCTTCGTTTGCATAAAATATGTACGAGGGCGGGGCGGGACTTTCCTCACTTCGTGGCTAAATGTGTTTGCCGTCTTTGGACCCCCAGACCGGATGCAAACAAACAGCCATTTTGTGCTGTTCGGCGCTGCCGTTTCCGGCGCCTTGCTGTCAATGTGTTTGTCAGTAGTCAACCTGTGGCTTGACTTTCTCTCTCGCCCAACTCTCGTTTCGCTTTCTCTTTGACTTTGTGCGGGCACTTCAAGTCATTAGCATTTGCTCAAAAAAGAAGACACACAAAGGGATCTAAAAAAAAAAAAAAACCAAACTCACACAGAAAAATTAAAAGGAGAGAATGGAATGCGAAGTTGGCAACTGCTTTTTGGCCAACTTCTCGCATAATTGCCGAGTTTTGCTGCTAATTTAAGATGATTTTCCCTCGCCCAGCTCTCCGTCGCCGGTGTCTCTGTTTGAATTCATTACGAAAGGAGACTCACTCTCTCAACTTTGGGCAGATGTGCTGAAAAGTTTTCCCAGCCGGCAGTTTTTGTCTCCGTTTCTTATGGCGAGAACTTCCCAGGGTTAGGCCCTGTGCGTTACTGTGTAATTTGCAAGCAATTACCTGGCAGGAGCACACCACATATAGTACATTCCCCCAGCCCTTCATATCTCCGATCTCCCTCTGTGAGCGACTTCTTGGAATGTAATTGAGTTTGAAAAATGTTTAAAATTAGATGTGTGTGAGTGTGTGTGTGGCTCAGGCCAAGGAAAAGCTGCTGCTGCGTGAGTGGCATGTAAACGCATGAGAGGCCTGGCGAAAATTTATTTAGCCTTAGATACTCTTCAAGGGAATGCTCCATTATATAAGGGCATGGCAGTCACCCGCAATTACGATAATCGTAATCTACAATGGAGACATGAAAGGTTTTAAGAAATTTTAAAGGTATTTTAAATAATATTTTCTTATGGTTTTACAGAGACATTTAGTATACAATTAGTTAGTTTTTTAGATACATTTATTTAAAAATTTATTTCATTATAAACTCCAAGCAATTTTAACAAGCAATAAACTCTCTGTAATCACGTAATTTTTCATTGTCCTTTAATGTCCTTTTGTTATAAAGAATTAAACTGGCTTGGGGAGTTTTAAGTGTTACAACCGTATGGGATTTCATTCAGAGAACTCCATTTTATGTCTCGCCATTTCGGGATAAGTAATGATTATAAATACTGGCGCACGTGTGTGCCTGGTGTACCATTAATATTATTCTACATTATGGCCACACATACATATGTTGCTGTGTTTTTTTTTAGGTTAAGGCCCTCTCAAGACCCGGACTCGGCAATTAAGGTGCAGAGGCAGTTCTCAAGACTTGCACTTTAATTTATTTTGCTATTTATCTAGGCTTGCGGAGAGGCATTAATTTAACACAGCTTCCACCTGGAGTCCTGCTGCATCCATCGTTCATTTAAATGCTCTCTTGGTCGCCACCTGGTCCCGATTTATTGTGCCCGATTGCTCCTGGAAGCAATGCAGCGAGCGAGATTTTAATGAACCATCAAACGGCAATTGAAGCTGTTCAATGCTTGCAGGGCCAACGTTGCGTATGAGTGATTTTGCCAAGGCGAGCCAGCTGCTCGATGCCGATGCTCCGGTGCTCCTCTACGAATGGATTCGCTGTTTTGTGCCAAAAAATATGTTTTGGCTGGCTGGCATGCAAAATATTTGGCACTTGGCACACAAAATGGCTTGTCATTTGGGCGAAATGAGTTGGAAGTTTCACGTGAAGGAAACGAAAATTTCATTTGTTGTTTTTCCCTGCAGCAGGCACCGCCTCTTATGCTCCTTCTTTGCAAAATATGTTTTTATGCTCTCTGGGTTGGTGTGTGTGTGTGTTTTTTTTTTTCTGGTTACTGGGCGCGACATATTTTGTTGTTGTTTCATTTTCGTTTCCATAAATTTTTCATTTTGTTTGACAATGTTTTGCGCCTTCGACATGTGTTTGCAATTTGCATGAGGTGAGTGTGAATGTGCGAGTGTGTGTGCAAAAATTGGAACGAACAAGGACAATGTCTGTGTGTTGGGTAAAAGAGGACCTTTTGGGATACAATGTGTGCTGATTGATACTCTGTGGCAGGGTAAAGTATTTGCCTTGTATGATTAAAGCTAACTGATTTTAGAAGTTGGCAAAGCATAATTCGGTTATAGGAAGTTTCGAATTAATCAAAAATTTATATCAATTTTAATTTTGAGGGTAGAATTAATGTGCATGAACTTTAATATGCATATTTAATAGTATTTATTGCTCAGTGAAGTAGAAAGCAATATTATTATAATATTATATTTGCAATATTATTAATAAGCCTTCAAAGGATGGTGAAGGATTGATAAATATTTACAGCTTCTTTCAAAGCAGTTTGTTGCCTGAATAATTGTCATATAATCCATTTTCCTTCATTTAAAGTTTAAATTAAAATCTTTTAGAGCGCATAAATATATATATTCTCATTTCTTATATCCTTATACATATCCTTAGCCTGTCTGAGGGTATTTTATTGTCGCACTGACCCCTCGTGCAGCCCATCCATTTCCATATTGACATCCCTCCTGTATGTGTGAAATATTGAAAACGTAATAGTGAGCGTGAATGCCGGGTAGCACTTTGGGTTTTTCATTATTTTCATAGATTTATTGCGAAAGTTTTGTGATTACTTTCCTTTTTTTTTCTCCTGCCATCGTCGCCACCGCCACTTTTTGCTGTTTTTCATTTTTTATTTTTTTTTTTTTATGCCGCTGATGGGAAGCAGACCCAATTGCTGATTGACTTGGCCGCAGCTGGGTCGCGTAAATGTAAGGAACGGAAAATGGAAAGTCCTGAGGCTAGGGGAGTGAACTATTTACGCGGCGGTTCACAGGATCGCATAGTTACGTTAGCTGAAAAGCAATTAAAAACTAATTACAGTGGCAAAAATGCGCAAAGGCATTTAATAAAAATTTAAAACTTAATTCAGTAAATGCCAGACAACAAAAGCAACGCGCCCGGTGGGTGACAACGCGGATAATTAGAGCAAAAGGCAAGCAGAGAGAGGAAGGATGGTGGAAACATCCAGGTACATAGTAGGTGACACGGAGGCAGAGAGAGAAAAGAAGGAAAGCTGGAGCCGCCACGCACACCTGACTTTGTTCCATCCGGGCAACGTGGCGTATGAGCAATTAGTAGTTAATTGTAAAGTTACCCCAAGTAAAGGGAGGAACAGAAAAGGGAAGCAACCGGAGCCTGCAGTCGTGACATTGACGTCGCGGATGAGCCAAGGACGGACGGAGGAAGAAAGCGCCGTAAACGAAGGGATAATTAAGTAGCAATTTTTGCCACTGCAGCTGAATTTTTAGCAGCTCGGCAGCGAACGTGTATGCTTGATAAATTATCGCGTGTAATTAGCGTATCAATAGCGATAAAACAAAAGCCCCAGCACGTCGTGCTGCTAAGCTGGGCTGAAAATAATAAAGGAGCATCGAGAATGGAGGGAGCATGGGGAATGTCAATTAAATATTAACCTAATAACTCAAACGCAGCATCAACAAAGGGATTACCTCCGAGGACGACAGACAGGCAGGCACTTTAAGCAATGCTCTCCGACTAATTGAAATTGAAAGCCCGACTAAAGGCGGCTAAAGTCGCTTGGCAGGATAACTAAGCAAGGCGATTAGGAGAGCAACTAACCGAGAAATGAACAATGGCCATTGGGTAAGCCAAATAAAAATCAAACACGCAAGATGCAGAGTCCTCGCAGGACGAGCTAGCACTTATGTAAGGCAGACCGGAGCGGAGCCGGAGCCGGAGCCCGGGAAGCATTGACAAAAATCAAACAATGAAAGCGCCGTTCAATAAAAACAAAAACCAAGGGAAACCCCATGGAAAAAGGGCAGCGATAAGGAGCAGTAAGAAGGAAAACGGGTAACCCAAGGCAGGCCAAACAGCAGGATGAAAAACAAAAGCGAGATGGAAAGTCCCTTTTCCTGCTCCCGGACAAAATGAAGTGGCAACAAAAACTGAATTGCGAGGGAAAACAGCAAAAAAAAAAAGGCAGGAATCTGCTGGCTAATGCTAAGGACATAGGAAAATGAAATTTAAGCCAAGTGGAAAT